CCCCCAGGCTCAACAACCCTAGACTCAGCACCCCCAGGTTCAGCACCCCTAGCAGTACCAGAGTCAACAGCTACCTCGACAGGCTCGACTGCGTCTACCTGGGACACACCTGACGGGGCAGGACACTAAGGGGGGAGGGGGTCTACCAGGGGGGGACCTGGCGCGAGGAAGAGGGGCGGCGGGGGAAGGGGCGCAGTGCGGTAAGGGAAGAGACGGTAGTAAGGAACCGACTCGTCAAACGTGACGTTCTGAGAGGACAGAACACGGCTTGAGGTGGGGTGGTAAAACTGCCAACCAGGCGCGTCAGGGGGGAAGCCAAGGAAGACGCAGGGAACCGCACGGGGGGACAGCTTGTTCGCAGACAAGTCGCGGACAAACGCCCGAGAGCCCAAGACACGAAACGCAGACACATCGCCAACCTTCTCCGTCCACCGAAAGGTGGGGGAGGTCTCCGGCAAGGAGACCCGAGGCTGAAGGTTGATCTGATGCACGGCGTACTGAACTGCAAACGGCCACAGAATATGGGGAGCAGCCTCATGGATCATGGACGTACGAGCGACGTCCATGACCATGCCAATGCGGCGCTCAGCAATCCCATTTTGCTGTGGAGAGGCCGGAAGCGTGAAGGTCTGGCAGATGTCCTGTGCACGACAGAAGGCTCCTAGAAGGGTAGAGGAAAACTCCCCGCCCCTGTCAGAGTGCATAAGCAGAACAGGAAAGTTTGAGCCGAAACTCTCTCTGAGCTGGAGACGAGCTGCGCGGATCCAGTCGATCAACACCCCAGTGACGTCACCCTTGCTGCGCAAGGGGAACAGCGTGGTGTAACGCGAGTACTCGTCAACCACCAACAGGAAGTAACGCTCGTGACCCTGGTCACGGACGCGGGCGGGGCCCCACACGTCCATGTGAAGATTCTGCAGCGGAGCCTCTGTCGGAGGAAACTCGGAGGAGTGAGGGGTGGTGCGCTGCCGCCCCTCGACGCAGGGAACGCAGGTAGGGGCAGGCCCCGGAGGGAGGGGAGAGAGGGACCGGGGGAGACCAGAGACAAGGTAACGGGAGGCCATGCCTCGGAGACGAGGCAGGGAGGGATGACCAAGGCGGTGGTGCCAGAGGAGAGTCTGGTGGGACAGGAGACGACACGAGCAGGGAGCAGACTCAGGACCAGACCTGGACGTTGTAGCAAACACCTGACTTGACGTAGCTACCTGACCAGACTCAGCAACCGGATGAGACTCAGTGGTTAGTGTGTACAGGCTCGACCCCCGCTCACGGGTAAACGTGGCCAAGTGTCGGCCCGTCCGAGCACACGTATAGTAGGTCACCCGCTGACTCGCAGGAGTGAACTGGTCAACCCCCCGATCCTGTAGATCAGCACCACTCACCAAGTTCGTAGAGAACGAAGGGAGGTAGAGACCTGACAGGGTGCCAGAGGGGGCTGCCGGACAGAGTAAGACAGTGGAGAAGCTAGCAAGGACAGGACCCCCAGAGGGGTCCGCCAAGGAGACCGCAACCGGCCGACTAAGCGGCGTAAGCGTGGTGCGGTCTCGAAAGAAGGAGTGGGGAGCACCCGAGTCAAGGGTGAAGGTGTGTAAGGTCTGAGCCGACGTGGTATCTGAGAGAGCAGACTCACCAGCACCTGGGGCAGCAGACGCACTAGCACCTAGAGCAGCAGCCTCACCAGCACCTAGAGCAGCAGCCTCAATGCCCGGGTCGAGCGGAACACACAGGTAATAGTCACCCTCATCACAAATAGACACAGCATACATAGCAGCAAGTATAGCATCATAGTCAAGATGAAAGATAGCAACCTCCGCCCTAGACAGCTCTCCCTAGCGAGGGATCTCAGTGGCGTCAGGGAACTGGTGACGCCAAGCGTCCATCAGGTGGCCGAAGTAGCGCTGGGTGGAGTGCGAGCCCCCGCACTGCTCACCAGCGTGGTCGCTGGTACGGAGGACGTAGGTACAGGGACCAGCACCCCCACCTCGCTGACGCCCAGCGTACCACTCACGAAGCTGCTGGGGGGACGGGGTCTCACGACTGCGCTGTTGCAGCTGGCAAGGACCAACACCGGAGCCACTCCTCTGCGCAGAGCCGCGACCAGCTCCACCGCTGCCGCCGCCGCCTCCGTTCTCACCGCCACCGCCGCCGCCTCCTCCGCCTCCACTGCTGCCACCGACACCTCCACCCCTGCCACCACTCCCACCACCACCCCCACCCTCTCCACTGCCTCCACCGCCACCTCCACCGCCCCCGCTAGCCCCTTTAGGGCCCTTGTCCTCCTTGCCCTTGCCGGTGCGGCGTCTCCCGCTAGGGGCAGACGCAGCTCCGATCGACTCGAAGCCAACGAGGTCGGCCGCAGCAGCAGAAGCAACAAAGAGCAAGAGGGGGGAGGGGGAACACCCTTCAAAGACGGGGGTACGAGGGTCACCACGAGAGGCTCCTACAGCGACTATGCTCTTCTCTGCTGCTAGGAGGCGCTCCTCGAGGAGGTCAACGGTGAGTGTCGTGGGGCAAACTGAGAGAAAGTGGTCCCTGACTATGCGAAGGGAGTCAGGGAGCCGGGTGACTATGTAGAGGGTGACTGTGGGAAAAGCAGCAAGGTCAGGGAACAGGTACGGTAGCATGAGGCGGCTAAGAGCAGCAGTGGCAGGGGAAGAGTAGCGTGCAACTACAGCGTCGTAGAAGGTCTTAGCACTCTTGTACTGACTAAAGTGCGCACGTTCAGCGGTCGGTAAGTGGCGACGCACAGCAAGACGGGCAGCAGCATCGCGTGTGGCCCACTGCGAGCGAACAGTGTTGTCAGCATCAGCAGGCGGGGCAGGAGAGGCACCAGAGGTGAGATCGAACAGGGAGAGTCTGTCTGCCCTATCGCACTGTAGGAAGAGCTGTAGGTCATCGACCCAGACCTCGAAGTCAACAGCACAACCCTCAACATCAAAGGTAAGGACACTGGGGGTAGCCATGACAACAGTGGTCTAGCATGGAGTGATCTCACCAGTGCGGGTGGGTAGGGCCGGAGCGCGCCGGTAGGAACAGGGCTGCCACCGCGGTGGCAGCGACTCGGCAATGTGTCAGAATCCCAACCACTAGACCATTGGGATAAAAGGGCTTGTTTCAGTAGCGGGTCAGTGCGCCCATAACCCCCCAGGCGAACGCGCCTGTAACCCTCTCCAGGATCAATCGGGCATCCACAGTGCAGATCTACTAACACCCCCCCACACTGGGAGGCCCAGGACTAAGCACAGCGGCACCGGCCTACATGTGCATACACCGGGAATTGAACCCGAGACCGCTCTGATACCATGTCAGAATCCCAACCACTAGACCATTGGGATAAAAGGGCTTGTTTCAGTAGCGGGTCAGTGCGCCCATAACCCCCCAGGCGAACGCGCCTGTAACCCTCTCCAGGATCAATCGGGCATCCACAGTGCAGATCTACTAACACAATGGCAGTAGCGGCTCGACGGGAGCAGCTCGGTAGTGGCGGCTCGACGGCGGCCTCGGCGGCTCCACGGCTCGGCGGCTCGGCTGCTCAGTGGCTCGGCTGCTTGGCGGCTCGGCGGCACGGCGGCTCGGCGGCTCGGCGGCTCGGCGGCTCGGTGGCTCGGCTGCTTGGCAGCTCGGCGGCTCGGCGGTTCGGCGGCTCGGCGGCTCGGCGGTTCGGCTGCTTGGCGGCTCAGCGGCTCGGCGAGGGGCCGAAAGGGGCGGCGACGGGGCCGTAAGGGGCGACGACGGGGCTGCTAAGGGCGGCGACGAGGCCGCAAGAGGGCGGCACTGGGGCCGCGAGAGGGCGACGCGGCCGCGAGAGGGCGGCACTGGGGCCGCGAGAGGGCGACGACGAGGCCGCGAGAGGGCGGGGACGGGGCCGTGGAGGTGGGGCCGCAAGGGGCCGCTGAGGGCGGCGCGACGGGCCGCTCAGGGCGGCGCGACGGGCCGCTAGGGGGCGGCGACGGGGTCGCGAGGGGCCGTGAGAGGGGGGGGCCGCTAAGGGCGGCGCGACAGGTCGCTAAGGGGAGGCCGGCACACAGGGCGCGCCTCGGTCAGCGGCGACTCGATCTTAGGGCAGGAAAAAAAAAAAAAAAAACTCGATTTTCAGTGGTGGGCCCTAGGAAAAGTTCCCACTAGGGAACCTGCTTTATATCATGTGAAGAAATGAGGGGGTGAAAGAACTAGGAAGCAGGTGGGTACAAGTAGGAAAACCTAAAAGTGTTGTACCCCATATTGTCAACCCCACTACAACCTACACAGACTATAACATATGAGTTTGACAGTAACGGTAATGGACTATGATTGTCTCGCGACGGGCCTGGGATTGAGGTTGGGAAAAAGTGTCGAAGCGGAGCCCCAGAGCGCGGGTTACTCGCCGAGCCGTGAGGTCGGGTTGCGATGTGCGAAGGTGGCGGACGGATTGTCGATGCGAGGGTTTCTAGTGGTAACGGTGCTGACTGTGGTGCTACAGTGATATACGCGTTGATCAGGGATGCAAAGTAAGGAAAAGGAATTTTCCTTACATAGGGGAATAAAAGCAATCCTTGTCAAACCAACATTTGTACAAAACTCCATCTAAGTTTGAAGTGCATCCTTGCATAGAACGTTGGAGAATATTGCTGCACCCATATGTTAACGTTATGCATTGATTATAACAAAATGTATATGCAAGCATTCTTAGGGACCGGTCGTGCGGATGCAGCACACACGTATGCGACAGATGATATGAACCTCGAAAATCGTTTTGGCGGGAGCCAATTATTTTCAGATTGGTGTGATCCAATCAGATTACTTCAACTTGCCTAACCGTTTTGTTTGGAACAGGGTTGTATCAGCCGAACTCATCGCAGCAATTTCAAGGTGGGACGGGCATCACTATTTTATATTTCGGTTTTAATTCTCTAACCAAATGGTGATTGAATCTTCGAGCACTACTGTTTTGGAGCATCTTTGCCTTCTCATGTTTGTCCCTGTCCATCCACCTTTCCTATGTTGGCGATCAATACCGCTTCCTAGCCGCATTGGTCCTTCTGGTCTGATAACGTATGCTGATGTCACTTTCGAGATCGGATGAGGGCAATGGGAGCGGTCACGTGCGGTGCCTTGGAGTGGAATGCGGTTGTACACACTCACCACAGGCATTTTCTCTTTGCCTCTCTCGCTGTCCACCCCCCTGGATTGTGATTCGGCATTAAACTGACCAGAAGCGTTGAAAGGGCGTGTGCCGTTGAAAAGGTGTGTGCCGTTGAAGGGACGTTGCAATGAGCCCACGTGAGTGGCATACAGGGTGAAAGGCAGTGCACATGGTTTGTGTGTCGGGGCATTGGGCTGCGACGGGAAGTAAGGGGCAGTACAGGGTGCAGGTGTGGGTGCGGGTGTGGGAGGAGAGGGAGGTTGTTGCAATGAGCCCACATGAGTGGCATACTGGGGGGACTGTGAAAGGCAGCGCACATGGCCTGTATGTCGGGGCATTGGGCTGCAACGGGAAGGAAGGGCAAGCGGGGGTAGGGTGGGCAGGATGCGGGGTTGGGGATAGGGTTGCAGGTGGAAGCGCGGTTGGGGGCGGGTTGGGGGAAGGGGTGGGGTTGGGGGTGTATCGATTGGTGGATAGACCACAGCAGAGCAGTATGTGGTAGAAACGTGTGGGTGGAGCAGCGCACCAAGGATCTGGACTCGAGTCAAGTCACTCGCCCACTTGACGGTTGACGCACCCACACAGGTGACTTTTGAGGCGACTCAAAAGTTGCAGGTGGAGGCGGGGTTGGGGGTGAGCGTGAGGGTGAGGGTGTATTGGTTGGTGGATAGGAAACAGAAGAGCAGCATGTTGGTAGATTGTTTGGTGGTAGAGCCCATTGAGGAACTAGACTCCATTACCACTTGACCACCTGACTGTTGACTGTTGACTGTTGACTGTTGCCTGTTGACTGTTGCCTGTTGACTGTTGCCTGTTGACTGTTGACTGTTGACGCACCCACACCGCACGTGCATACACACCTGCACACCCCCCCGACCCCACACACCCACACCCACACACCCACACACCCCCACACACACCCCACCACATACCCACACAACCCCAAACCCCCACACCCATCCCCCCCAGGCGCCCTTCCGCGCGGCGTGTGTCGAAGGTGAACGAAGGGGCACGCTTGTTCCACCGGTCACAGCAGAGCAGCAGGTGTGGTAGAGCACTTTGTATCAAACCCACACACCCACACACCCACCCACACACACACACACACACGCACACATACACACCCACACATACACACACACGCACACAAACACCCACACCCACACCCACACCCACACCCACACACACACCCACACCCAGGCACACCTCCGAGCGGCGTGTGTCAAAAGTGAACGCAGGGCCGCGCTTGTGCCACCGGAACGACTCAAACGTGCGCTCTGCCCGCTCCAGCTCCGACAGCTCTCGCACCTGCCATGGGGGTGGGGATGGAAGGTGGGGCGACATGGGGGGAAGGGGGGGTTGAGTCAGCTTGAACGTGCGCTTTGCCCGCTCCAGCTCTGACAGCTCTCGCACCTGAGTGGAAGGTGGGGCGAACGGAGGGGTGAGGGGGGGTTGATACAACTCAAACGTGCGCTCTGCCCACTCCAGCTCCGACAGCTGCCGCACCTGCCATGGAGGATGTGGGAGAGAGGGAGAGACATGCAGCAGGCAGCAGGTGGAAGGTGGGGCGAAAATGGAAGAGGGGAAGAGGGGGGGGGGGGGGGGTGGGAGGGGTTGAGTCGACTTGAACGTGCACTCTGCCCGCTCCAGCTTCGACCGCTGCCGCACCTGCAATGGAGCATGGAGCACGTGGGAGCCACAAGGGAGCTGGAGTTGGGATGGTTCTACGTTTGAGGCACCTTAACAGTGAGCTACCCCGCTCTTGCAACAACCAACCCTATTGAGGTTTTGAGAATTCTCAAAGATGCCCTGAAGCAATGCTCCCACCTAGAGCGTGTATACCTAAAGCACTGCTCCAAACTAGAGCGTACATACCCCACGGTAGATCTTGATTGCGAAACCCCACGAGATGGCTGCTGTCCAATTGGCTCTGCACGCAGGGGCAGCGTTGGGTCAGTGAGAGGGCGGGAGGGAAAGGAGAGGGACGCATGGGTTGGCGGATGAGGAGGGAGGGATGGGGGAGGGATGGGGGAGGGATGGGGGAGGGATGGGGGAGGGATGGGGGAGGGATGGGGGAGGGATGGGGGAGGGATGGGGGAGAGATGGGGGAGGGATGGGGGATGGATGGGGGAGGGATGGGGGAGGGATGGGGGAGGGATGGGGGAGGGATGGGGGAGGGATGGGGGAGGGATGGGGGAGGGATAGGGGAGGGATGGGGGAGGGATAGGGGAGGGATGGGGGAGGGATGGGGGAGGGATGGGGGAGAGATGGGGGAGGGATGGGGGAGAGATGGGGGAGGGAGGGGGGATGCATGAGGCTGCAAGCCTGCAATATATCCGGCAATGAACCCATTCGTTTCGTTCGCCACGTCACCATGCCGCCATTGGTTGTTTGGTTGGATTGGATTGTCATTGCTAGGCCCACCCATCCCTCTCATCCCATCACCCACCCCATTCCTTCACACATGCAACCAGTCCTTTACCTTGCATGTTTTGACACGTCTCACCACCAGTCCTTTACCTTGCATGCCTGCCACATCTCAAAACTCACCAGCCCTTCCCCTCATCCCACTCTCCTCACCCCTCTCCCCCACCCTCACCCCATCACCTCGTCCCCACCCTCTCGCCCTCCCCGTCCCCTCCCCATCCCCCCCACCTCCCTCCCTCCCCACTCACCCGTCCCCGCACACCGCCAGCTGTGCAAACCCCACCGGATCAGGCCTTATCCGCTTTACCAGCGTGGCAAGCCCCTGCGCGCGGTTCTCAATCCCAACGGGTTTTAGAATCGGGTCCATTATGTCAAAATGGTGGAGGGAGAGGAGAGGCTGAGCCGGGTGCGACATGAGCAGCCCGAATAGACTGTGGTGCAGGTCGCACTGGTGAAAGCCGGGGGCCACAGTGAGAGACACCTGCAGGGGAAGATGTGAATGTAAGGGCGGAGTGGGGGGGTCGGGGGAGGTGGGGGGTGGCAAGAGGAGGGGGGGAGGGAGGGGAGAGCAGGGGCTGAGCCGGGTGCGACATGAGCAGCCACAACCCGAATAGGCTGTGGTGCAGGTCGCTCTGGTGGAAGCCGGGGGCCACAGTCAGGGACACCTGCACCAGACTCAGCGCTTGCATCCAGGATGCTGGACGAGTCAATTTTATCCAAAGGAGAGCCACGACAGGTACGAGATGAGACGCGAAGAGAAGAGAAGAGAAGAGAAGAGAAAAGACAAGACAAGAGAAGAGACTCACCCCCAGCTCGCCGATGAGCGGTATGCTGTGTCCGCGTAGAGCTGGCAGTTCGTTTGAGCGGTATGCTGTGTCCGCGTAGAGCTGGCAGTTCGTTTGAGCAGTATGCTGTGTCCGCGTAGAGCTGGCAGTTCGTTTGAGCGGGATGCTGTGTCCGCGTAGAGCTGGCAGTTCGTTTGAGCGGGATGCTGTGTCCGCGTAGAGCTGGCAGTTCGTTTGAGCGGGATGCTGTGTCCGCGTAGAGCTGGCAGTTCGTTTGAGCGGTATGCTGTGTCCGCGTAGAGCTGGCAGTTCGTTTGAGCGGTATGCTGTGTCCGCGTAGAGCTGGCAGTTCGTTTGAGCAGTATGCTGTGTCCGCGTAGAGCTGGCAGTTCGTTTGAGCGGTATGCTGTGTCCGCGTAGAGCTGGCAGTTCGTTTGAGCGGGATGCTGTGTCCGCGTAGAGCTGGCAGTTCGTTTGAGCGGGATGCTGTGTCCGCGTAGAGCTGGCAGTTCGTTTGAGCGGGATGCTGTGTCCGCGTAGAGCTGGCAGTTCGTTTGAGCGGGATGCTGTGTCCGCGTAGAGCTGGCAGTTCGTTTGAGCGGGATGCTGTGTCCGCGTAGAGCTGGCAGTTCGTTTGAGCGGGATGCTGTGTCCGCGTAGAGCTGGCAGTTCGTTTGAGCGGTATGCTGTGTCCGCGTAGAGCTGGCAGTTCGTTTGAGCGGTATGCTGTGTCCGCATACACCCTCCGGGACATAGCCATGTTTGGGTTCGGATTGACTGTAAATTTTCGTTACTGGGGTGTGAAACCGCCAAAACGAAGTGAGTATGACCCGCCCTAGAGACTCACCCCTAATTCGCCGATGCAAGCAGCCACGCGCTCGTCGCTCCCCCGCAGCTTCGTGTGCCTCTCCAGGCACGGGTCCATGCCGTCCCCCGCGCTCAGCGCTTTCGCCAGCGCCGCGGACACGGCGAAGCCCGCGCCGCCAAACCCCATGGAGCGCGTGAACTCGACGTTCTGCATGTGCGTCTCGGAGGCGGACCCGAGGTAGAGCAGCGCGCGGTGGTCGTACTGCTGTAGAAAGGCCGCTAGCGCGTGCGGGCTGAAGAAGGTGTCGTCGTCGCCCATCACGTACCTGACAGCGCGGGTGGGGAGGGGAGGGGGACGAGGGGGGGAGGCGCGGGGGGGGTGGGGGGGGGGGGTTGTTGAGAGGAATGAGGGGATTGAGACGAACGAGGGGGGTTGAGAGGGGAGCGAGAGAGCATCGCGAAAAAGGGTTTGGCCAATTTTCGAGTTTAAGTTTGAAAGCTGCAGGAAAGTTGGTGACTTGTATCCTGAATGTATCCAAAAATCATGACTGAAAAAAGCAACTCACACAAACATAGGATACAAGGGGTAACCGAGCCGCGAATTTTGGATACGTGGGTAACCCGAGGCGTGATTTTCGGATTCGTGGGTTTCTCGGACCGAACATTTCTAGCATCAAATTCGACACCTCAGCACCGAACAGCACACCTGATCACGACCAAAATGTGGGAGTCTCCCTTGCTGTGAAACTGCAGGTGTCCGATAGATGAACACTTGGCACAAATTAGGTTAGCGTTCTCGAAAGTTGCGAAAACGGTAACGTGGATACAAACCGCACGACCGTCGCCAAGGTTCAACCAGGAATCGGAGTTGGCAACAGGCACAAGGGTTCACAGTCACACCCAATCAGTGCTAAGTGTTCATATTTCGGGTACTGACGTGGCTTCCTCGGACCAAGGTTCAGCTAACCCGTAACGAAGTGGTCGAACCTAATGATTTTTTACTAACCAATCACTGGGGTGCTCTTGCCTGCAGCAAAAATCAACGGCATATTTTGACGACACTTCAGCACACCTCCAAGCTCTAGAAGCATCTATCTTTCTTACCCTCACTCTGCGCATGACTCTCTCCCGACCAAACACCCGTCACCTGCCTCATTTTCACACAGCTGACTAAGGTTCTTCACATCTCCTGCCTCTGAGTGTCCTCTTAGCACAATTAGCGTCTACCTAAAGACCACATCACTTCTACGTGTTATTGCATTTTATTACCACTGCTTGTAACTCAGACCCATGTTATCAATTCGGCCCCTGCGAATCCTCCCCTATCCTTTTACAAATTACACAGCAACGTTTTCTACACGCGGAGAACGTGGGACCAGCGACTAGTAACGGAATCGCCGGGTTCCGCGCGAAAAGCGCCAAAAGGTGTGCTACACATGCTTTTTGTAACTCGTAACCAAGCTATCATTTTCCCGTGCGTGTGCCTTAGGTTGTAACTCGTTCATCTATTCTCACGGGTTATGCTTCGCGAGCAATCGATCTGTTTGTATCTTGCCGATATGTGTGCAGATCTGTCGCGATGGCTTGTAAGTTCCTTTTTTTCCCGCCCCTGCCAGTCCTCCCATTCCTTAGTGCATTTTAATTAGTTGCACTTCTTTTTTTCCCCAGCCTCCCAATACTGCTCGTCGGCATGCTCACTGCATTACTAGGACCGGTGGCCCGCGAATCGTGTGGGACACGGCGTCTTCAGCGCGAGAAACGCGGTGAGTGTGGTAGTCGCACCAAGGCCTCTCTTTGCCTCTGCTTGAGCTTTTAACCATGCGCGTTCTAACCCCATGTTGTCTGGAGTCCAGCCTGTAACGATAATGTTGTTATGTCTTTTGTTGATGTAGTCATCGTGTTTCAGGGCTGATTTCCATGTGCAGGGTTCATGGAAGTCAATAGATGTTTCCAAGCGTTTGAACAATACCCAGAAGCTCTCAAGCATATCTAAGGCAATGTTATGAGTGACGGTGAAGGCTCGCTGGTGGTAAGTCACTGAGGTGGGGAACAAGCACATGACTAACCAAAGTCTAACGTTATGTCATTGTTTTGTTTGCAGGCGTTAAAACGACACATTTTTTCGCCATGTGTGCCCTTCATATAAGATGTTTAGCTACGTAGAAGTACTTGTGTCTAGCTGTGTTCGTTGTTCTGCTGTGTTATCGCAAAGTGTATACTTCAGAAGTATGTACGCAAATGTCAGAAATATTGTGTTGCAGAGGAATGTATACATAAAAAATAGCAATAACAATCAGCCAGTGAAACGAAATCTCCGTTTGTGCGGTTAGGCAAAACGGCGGCTTGTAGAAATCAAGTTTCGCACACTTCAAGGTCATGTCTGATTGGCCCACATGGCAAGTTGCCGTACACATATCGAGAATGACACCTGGCACAAATATCTTTGCTTACGTGGCAAAAAATCTTCACGTACGTACCAGCGTACGTACACTTCGAAGTCGAAACTGTACGCAGGCCACGTGGCAGGTGGTGAAACTGCTTACATGTGACTGAAATGTATACGCAACGTGTCCAAAGATTGTCCGATAAGTTGCGGTTGTGTTGCGGGAAAGTTGCAGGAATGCAACTTTTTCGCAACTTTCCCGCAACCACGATCTCTGCAACATTTGACCATAACTGGAAAGTTGCAAAAGTATCCTTTTTGCAACATTCCCGCAGCTTTATGGCAAGCCCTTTTTCGCGATGAGGCTACACAAGACTCGAAACTCATTTGCCAGGATCTGTTGCTTTGAGACGCCTCGGGACTTGTATGTCGAAAGCGAGTTTGACGTGCACTTTTGAGATTTTACAAAAGCGTGCTTTGACGTGCACTTCACAACCAGAAACACAGAGTGAGAGAGAGTGAGACTCCGGCCATCCTCTCATGCTGTCAGCAGAAGCGGCGCGATGCAGAGGGAATGTGAGTGAAGTGAATGGGGGAGACTGATTGAGGGAGTGAGCGAGTGAAAGAGGGGAGGAAGGTAGGGAAGGAGGGAGGGAGGGAGGGAGGGAGGGAGGGAGGGAGGGAGGGAGGGAGGGAGGGAGGGAGGGAGGGAGGGAGGGAGGGAGGGAGGGAGGGAGGGAGGAAGAGGAGTCGCACCATCGCACGTCTTTCTCCCCGAGCCTGTACGCGTCCACGACAACGCGCGCCATGCGCACATAATCCCGCAGCCCCTTCCCCCGGTAACTCAGATGCGCCGTGCTGCTGCTCACCCGCACAGGGGGGGTGCCGCCCACGCCGCACCGGAGCGCCTTGGGAAGACGCGCCACGTCATTCATCCACACGTAGCCGCGAAGTGGGGCGTCGGAGTCTGAAGAGGAGGCGGAGTCTGAGTGGTTTTCGGACCGCCACCAGGCGCGTAAGTATCGCACGCGCTTCGAAAAGCTGGCATTCGACGATGCGATGTTGAAGAGAATATGTCGCACCCCTGTCTCCTCCTCCTCCTCCTCTCCTCCCAATTGCTCCTCATCCTGCTGCTGTTGCGCCTTCTTCTCTTGCTCCGAGACGCAGCCAGCCTTTCCCCGTACTTCCTCCGCTTCCCCCCGCCATCCCGTTTCTATCCCCGCGTTGGAGCCATTGCGGTTCGTAGTAGTGGCATCATGATCGTCCGTTTCCAACGGCCGAGATGCCATTGATGGGCACGCGGCGCACGACGCCGCGGCTGCATTACCGCCGCTACCGCCGCCAGACTTTTTCTGCTCCGACTTCGCCGGGCCGCTGCGGCAATCATCCAAGTAAGACACATCAGTTTTATCAGTATTATTACTGTAATAACAATCATCATCATCGTCCTCGTGACGGAAAGCCGCTCGCAACCACTTCCACCACGTCCTCGACGAATCCGAGGAGTTCAAACCTGGGGAAGCAGATGATTCGGATTCCGCGGCTCGGAGGGTGTCGATTAAACTCTTTATCTCGGTGTGTATGCTGACCGCCGCCGTTCCTGAGAGAAGCTCCTGTTGAACGGTGACGACCGCGTCTTGAGCACGCTTGTTCCAGACAACGACGCGAAACGGGGAAATCTGGAGCTTATTTGTAGTAGTACTATTGATACGAGTAGTAGTAGTGATACTAGTACTATTTAGAGTATTTGTCGCAGACGCAGCTAGGCGACGTATTAAGTATGACTCGTTGACCCAGCCGCTGCGCAGGACCTGACCAGCGAACAAAACGTCAGAATCACGAGAAGGAAACGACCAGAGAGAGAAGGCGATGACGAGAATGGCGCCGAGAGAGACTTGAACGCAAACGAGAGTGGCGAGGGCGGGGATCACTTGCAGTGGCTTCGTCCGTGGAACGACGGGTTGCTGCTGCTGCTGCTTACTAACAGATAACAACGCCATTACAAACAAGTCTCGGCGCCCCCGGTCACACGCTTGGTGAGGCAAGGCGGCGCTTCTCGGAGTGGCCAAAACGCGTAGAGACTTGCTACTAGTAGCGAAGTAAGCTCGAGGTCTGAGGTGCAGTGATACTTGTTCCCTGCGGAAGTGGGGAGATCTGCCAGACAGATCTGGCACTTCGAGCCAGGGGGGCTACTGTACCTTGTTGAGGAGTGGGTTTCACGGTGCCAGTCAGCGCCATGCAGCACCGACAGCTGTTTGGACAGAACCCCACTATACAGCTGTTTGTACTTCCGTTTCCTTCAGGGGGTGCCACAGAAGTTGAGGGAGAAAAGAGCTGGCTTCAGGTCTGGTCGGGGAGTGCTGTCACACCGCACTGCACCCACGACGGTGCTGTCAAACGTAGGGTGTTTGAGGTGGTGTACAAAATGAGGTGGTTCACGTTACGCAACGGTCAATTCTGGAAAAGTATGGTTGGGTAGGATATTCAGCGATCATGATTTAAGTCCGTGTAGATGCGCTAGGGGCAGAGTTTTCATCACAGACCCGAAAAAAACAAGAATCTGTTGCTCAAGCACTGATCTGTACTACTGTTCTACAGTTGACATGTGTCACCAACTGTCGCTTGCGTTATCAGGGCACTTGCCCTGACATGACTGCTGACCAAGTTTTGTTTCCCGAAACTTTGCTTTTTAGGGGCCGTTCTGTACGGAATTATTTTTTTCTCTGTTGGAATTGAAGAGCATATGTGGTGCCTACACCGCTGTGTTCCACTTTATTGACAATATAAAGGGTACAAAAGTACACGAGTCAGGAGGTTAGACTGGTAGCTACGGTAGCTAAAAGAGCCTGTGCAAAGGAAGCAGCAGGAGTAGTCCCTCTACCACTTTCAGTAATCATTCCCCAAGTACGCAAAGTCCGCTGCCGACGGTGGAATAACTTCCGAAGGGATAGTGCTGGACGCTACTGTGAATCGAACCTGTGCCCGCCTGCAGATTGTGCGGGCCTGCTCACGCTGGTGGACGAGGGAAATGCGTTTGTAAAAACTGGTCTCGAAGAGTTGTGGAATGAGGTCAGATGAACCGCTCAAATCGCGAAGACGCGAAGCACCACGACGACTGCAGTGTCGGAGGAAATCCTGGAATGACTTCCCAAAACACCCGAAAGTCTCAAGCGCCAGTGGAAGTAACTTGACGTCGGGACGGGCGTGCAGGGATGGTGCGTACAGAGTTGCCTTCTCAGTCTCGCGTGTAGCTGCGGCTGACCCAATGACGGTGGCAGCATTGGAGTGGGGGAAGCCGTGCTGCGAGTCGGCTACCGAAACGTCCAAAGCCAAGGTGGTGCCGGATTGGAGGTCCCTGCAGGTGATGTCAGGTCGGCGGCCTGGAAGGAGGTGGTGGTCTTCCAACTGCGACACGAGACCAAGCTCCAAGATAATGCGGTGCAGTTCGTGTTTGATGGCGTCATGCACTCTGGTAGGCTCGTTGTTCTTGGGGCAGCGTAGGGCATGGGATGGGAGGGAGGAGTCAGAGAAAGGATGTCCACAGGCGCAAGTTTCAGCGGAGCTAAGGTGAGGAATGGGGAGGCCAAGGCGGATAGCAGCAGCGATGCGCCATTCGGATTCAGTGAGCTGCAACTGAGGCGAAGAAGGAGCCGCAGTAAGCCAATCCCCCGCATGCGGGCCCTGCAGGGAGGTTAAACGGGCCAGGCGAAGTGGGGAAGTGACAGACGAGCGGACTTTTTCGAGCAAAGAAGCCTCAAGCTGCTGTGAGAGATGAGTGAAAAGTTTGGGGGGATAGCCGGGTAGGAGGTGGGACCAGGAAGGGAAACGGTCACGAACTTCTTTTGGGAGCATGGCAGTAGCAGCTGGAATGAACTCGTCGAGGCGATGAATGGTGTCAGATGAGAGAAAGGGGCGGAAAAGTGGTGAGCCGTCAGTGATGAAGTGAGTGGACAGTAGTGGAAGCGACTGGGCCCAACTGCAGAGGTAACTAAGAGGTGCTGTAGAGGCGGAGGAACGAAGGCCAAAGCCCCCAAGGCGAACTGGAAGAAAGACTTGCTGCTGCGCTGTTTTTGTCTGTTCCGTGTCTGGGATCCAATAACCGGGGCCAAAAAGCTGGGTGAAATGGTCCAAGAGGGTAGAATCCCAAGAGCTGAAGAGGTCATGAATCTCTGGGAATGGCGATACAGTCCGGAGGAGGAAGGAAGGACGGGCTGAGACGCACTGGGAGAGGATGCGGGAGGCAGTCTGAGGGTCATGAAGCTGGTGAAGAAGAGGAAGAGAGGTAGTAAATGAGGCGAGCTTCTCCTGTACTGTGGAGATGATGTAGCCGTCCGAGCCAATCGGGACCCCCGCAACGTTGAGGCCGTTGGGAGCGATAGGTACACCCGAAGGAGTTGCGCAGCCCTGAGGCCAGTCAAGAGGGCACCAGATGGAACACTTCGAGGGTTGGACTGTAAGGCCCAAGGAATGAAGGCGGTCGGTCAGGGCTGTGAAGGCAGTGGTGATGATTGAAGGAGGGCCAACGAGGAAGGTGTCGTCAGCATAAGAGGAGATGAAGATGGATGGGAACTGGTTTTGTGTGGGAAGAATGGCAAGCTGCTGGGTGAGGGCGTAGAGAAAGGGACCGCAGGGGTCCCCCTGGCGCACACCCGAGGCGGACTCGAATGTATGGAGGGTGGGGCCGTTGCGGTAGTGAAGGGGAGACGGGGAGGAGTAGAAGAGGCTGAAGTAGGGAATGAGAGGAGAGAAGGGTGAGGAGCGGAGAGCCTTGAACATGGCAATCCTGTTGAAAGAGTTGAAGGCGTTAGCGACGTCAAGCTGAAGCACCGCCCAATCAGGATGGAGGGAAAGGGCCGATTGTACGGCATGCGCCATCACCTCTATGCCTGCAGGAACCGCGACCCCGAACTGCAGGCATGGAAGGAAGGTGTCACGCATTTGCTGCTTGAACATGAGGGTGATGCAGCGGGAAAGAAGGCGCGGGAGAACTTCACCAATAGCAATCGGCCGGACCCCACCCTGCGGCTTCTTAAGGGCGACGAGAGTAGACGCAGTGTAATAGGAGCGGACAGAGAGTGGGAGCTCGGCCTGCAGCCAATTCTGGAAGAGGCGGAGGAGGGAGGGAAGGTGCTGCTGGGAGGTAAGGAAGGTGTCTCTGAGGTGCTCAATCAACCAACCCGAAGGGCCAGCCGCGGTACCCCGTGGGGCTGATCGAAGAGCCAGGTGGAGGAGCGGGGCTGAAAGCTGTGGGTAAGAGTCTGGGGTGAAGGTGGATATCCAATGAGGAAGAGGCTGCGGAGCTGGTGGATGCTTGGAAGAGAGAGAGGAGATGGTTTCCGAGGAGGGGGGTGCGAACTCGCCGGCTTCCAATGCTGCCAGGGAGCGAGACCAGTCGCCGCACTTAGCAAATCGCGCGGCACGATGGAGGCGAGCCTGCGTGGCTGTGGAGCGTGCTGAAGCAAGGTTGAGAGGGCGAGCAGCAGGGGTGGCAGCGGCAGAGGCTTCAAGGAAAAGCGCATGCCAGTCCCCACTGATGAAGCGCTGAGCAAGAAGGGCACATGCTGCGGTAAGCGATTGCGAAGGGGTAGCTGCAGTTAGGCGGAGGACGAGGCGCGGAAACGCAAGCAGGATAAGATGCGCAGCAGTGTCAGAGGGATGCTGTGCAAGCCGACGAAGGGGGATAAGCATGGCGTCAAGCACAAGAAGGCGAATGCGAGGAGGGATGCGGCGGATGATGGGACCGGGAGAAACCACCGGGCTGAAGAAAGCGGGCCAATCCCACTCAAGGACAGCATCCCAGGTGGCAGAAGGGATTGCTGGCGGAGTGGAGGCCTGCGCAGATGCAGGCTGAGCGCGAGGAGGGGCGGAGCGAGGAGGAGGACATGCAGCTTGCTGACGTGCGGTAGAGTTTTGCTGGCAAGAAGTGGTATGACGAGTCAAGGCACCGGCATTAGCGCAAGGTCGGTGGCATATAGGGCAGGAAAAAGAACGGGCAGCAGGAGGAGGAGGATTGGTGGGAGGAGCTGCTGCGGTGGAAGTAGAAGGGGGCGGGGGAGAGGTAGGGAAAGGAGGAGGATCATCAGTGTAATGCGAGAGGGGGTGTTGATCGTTGGCAGTGGCAGGTGGGGTGGCATGGTCCGTTGATTGAGCGTCTCGAGCAGGGGCAGAGGTGGAGCGAGACATCGAAGGATGGGATGGCCGCGCCGAAGTCATGGCGTCTGCAATGACTTGGTGAAGGGCGTCCTTCTGTTGCTGGGAGATAAGAGGAGGCTTATCGTGAGGACGAGAGGCGTGTGTAGGAGAAGGAGGCGGGGGCTGAAGTGAGGTTTGCTGATGGTTGGAAGAAGAGGGTGGCGGTAAGATTGGCGGAAGAGGAACATGGACAGTAGCGAAAGAAGGGGAAGGGCGGGAGCGAGTTGTGGACGAGGACGGGGCTGTTGCAGCGAGGTCTGGGGGCCGGTGTCTCTTACGGGAAGTCATGGGTGGATAGGGAAGGGAAACTTAGTCCGCGTGGTGGAAGAGTGTAGCAATAACCGACTAGGCGGAAAATGTGGCAGGCCTGGAAAGTAGGAGCAGCTGCGGAGGTTGATGCGTGACACGAAAGCCGCTGAATTGAGTGCGGATCAAAATGTGGAAGTATGAAGAGGATGGGAAAAGGAGATGTAGTAGTCAGGTAGTGTAGTGTACGGAGTCTCGAGAGTAGAATTTGGGAATACAGTTGGGGCCGATGAAAACGAGGATGCAGACGTAGCGAAGTGGAGGGAAATTTGGGAGGTGGGTAGGGGTGATGCAGTTTGCGGAACAGGTGGGACGCGGAAACAGCCAAATCGTGCTGCAGGTGTTGAGATAACGAGGTCGCGTCGTGCTGGCACCCGGTACCCGAACCGAAGTAGAAATCACGCGCTTGCAACAGTAGCTTGCTGGCCGTGGCTGGTAGTAACGAAGTCCCTCAGTGACCTACCGACGTGAGGCAGCAGGTGCACGGTAACTCCGCAAACCTAATGTCATCCAGCACGACTCACGGTTAAATCCTGGAGCTCTAGCTGAGGCAAGCGAGACGCGACGCCCACATGGGGTAGCAGCTGCACAATATTGGCGCGAACCTGATTTTGTCAAGCTAGTCACGCAATAGCTTCTCGAAGTTTTCGCCTGTGGAAAGCCAGACGCGGCGCACACGTAGGGGTATAAATGTAGGTACTAAGTTGCTGATTTCGCTCCTAAGCGAAGAGTAGTGAGATTAGCTGCTTTGCTCGAGTGAGCAGCTTGACGAACTACTAATCACGAAGCGTTCTAGCGCTTTTTATAGCTGCTGCAGCGAGGTTGAGTGAGAGCGAGGCAAACTACTAATCACGAAGCGTTCTAGCGCTTTTTATAGCTGCTGCAGCGAGGTTGAGTGAGAGCGAGGCAAACTACTAATCACGAAGCGTTCTAGCGCTTTTTATAGCTGCTGCAGCGAGGTTGAGTGAGAGCGAGGCAAACTACTAATCACGAAGCGTTCTAGCGCTTTTTATAGCTGCTGCAGCGAGGTTGAGTGAGAGCGAGGCAAACTACTAATCACGAAGCGTTCTAGCGCTTTTTATAGCTGCTGCAGCGAGGCTGTGTTCCAGTGCCCAAATCGAACAGGGAACCAGATAGTACAACCTCTCCACTGACCCCCCTCGCCACTTACAACGCAACCCTTCAACCATGGATGTCAGCGTGTGTGCCTCGCGCTAGTTCACACCTGCTTTTGTTCGGAAGTGTTTTTCCCATATTGCTTTTATACTTGCCCGGCTTACGCCAGGACCCGGCACTAGCTTCCGTCGCTTTGCCCGGCTTACGCCAGGACCCGGCACTAGCTTCCGTCGCTTTGCCCGGCTTACGCGGGGACCCGGCACTGACTGACATCGCTTTTCCCAGCTTGCGCCAGGAGTGGTTCAAGCGGTGGTGTCTGACAAGCAGAGCTGTTAGCCGAGGCACTAGGGTTTCCGAACCTGGGGACTACACGTTCACCTTTGACAGCTGTAGAAACAAACCACGCCGCAACTGTAAGGAATTTTCGCCAATTCCTTACTGAGGCACCTCTTACGCGTACAACCCCAATTTTCGGAATTCAGGCTCGGTCCGTCGACCTCGCCTTCCGAACGTCTTCCGCGTCGCCTTCGGGTTTTCCAAACCCAAACCTACACCCAACCCTCGCATGACTCCGCGATCCCGGCTTAGCTAGCTATGCTATATTATGCCTAGGCCCCGTTGTTTGCTCAGTAGTTGTAATCACTTCCGCGATATTATATTCTGCGCACTCTTCTTTCATACAACTCATAACACCTGGTATCAGAGCTACTTTCCTAGGTTACCTTCCACTTTCCGGGGTAGTTTAGTACCGGGGTGCGATAGGTTTGGTGGGCTGCAAAGCGGTCGGCTGAGAGATAGACACGACTATCTCACTCCGACTAATAGTGTTTGCGCCTTCATCAAAACCATAAAAAATCGCTGTTAACCCCCTGCCCGTTAGACGAAGCCTGCGACAGATGGACCAGGCGGAGTTCAACGAGTTCATGCAGCAATTCCGGGCGATGCAGGCCAACATGCAGACTATGTCTGGCGAGTTGGAGCGCCTGAGGGCGGAAAACGCCGAACTACGCCAGACGCGAGGTGAAGCGCGTCAGGAGTCGCCCGCCGTGGATGAAGCGAGTAGCAGTTTCGCACCTAACGACGAGGTCCTCAGCGAGCTACAGAACTCGCTGGACGCTGAAGACGAGGGGATGGCACGGATGCAACGAGCACAAGGGACGCAGGAACAACAGTCACAGCCGAGGCAACAGTCGCAGACGACGCCACGACATGCAACAGCGACAACCCCGGTGATGGCTTCAATGGCGCCCTCGGTGCATGCAGCAGCAACAGTCTCGACAACTGTTAAGATAAAACCGACGAACCCGCCCCCGTTCAACCCCAGCGACAAAACCGTCACTGTGTCGGCTTGGTTGTTCGGTGTAGAGGTATTTTTCAATGCTGCGCAAATTGCTGACGATGCCACCCGCATTAATTTCGCAGTATCACTATTGCGAGGACCGGCGTTGGAATGGTGGAAGCGGACTCTTCAACCAGAGGGGGCTCCAGCAGGGATATCACGTGCGAACGACGTGACCTGGGCAGCTGTCACGCAACAGGCAACTTCAATCTTCGGAGTGGCCACGATACGCACATGGACGGAGTGGGGCGCCGCGCTGCGAAACAGATTCGAGCATGTATCCGCCTCGGATTCTGCTCGCATGAAGCTGCGTACCTGGAAGCAGGTGGCGTCGGTCCAAGATTACACGGCGACATTCTGCAATTTAGCTGACCAAGTGGACGACATGAGTGACGCGGAGCGACTCGACCGCTATGTCGCAGGCCTCAAGTACGAAGTACAGTACGAGGTGCGACGGGCGAGGCCACGTGTTTTTCTCGAGGCCGTCCAGGTGGCTGAATCAACGGATGCGTTGATGCAATGGGCGAGAATGAGTTCCCGGGAGGGCACTCAATTTCGTGGACCGCCGCGCCAGCCCACGATCAACGGGGTGGATGCACCGAGGCGCGGACCCAACACGTGCTTCAATTGCAACCAACCGGGCCACTGGAGGAAGGACTGCCCAAAGCTGAAACAGGGAAACAGGAACGACGGAGAGGGGTCGGGAAAAGAGACGAGTCAGTAGCAATCGGGCCTCCTACTGACGCGACCCCGTCGCCCGGCAATCAACATCCACACCGAGTAGTGGTACCGATACGGGCTATCGACCGCAACCGGACGAATAAGGTGGATGAACACGTGGATCACCCTGTGCTGGTAGTAGGGAGGGTTAACGGGCATAATATAAAACTATTCGTTGACGGTGGGGCGAGCCACAGTCTCGTCAACCTGGCAACGGCCAAAAAAATTGGAGTCAAGCTGGACAGGTGTCTACCAAAGATTGATGCGCGATTGGTGGACGGAACACCGCTGGCAATCAAGGACGAGGTCCGACAAATTCGGATGAAGTGTGGCGACGATTTCGGGTTCTCCATGCGAATGCTGGCGACAACGCTGGACGGTTGCGATGTGCTGCTCGGAAGGGATTGGCTGCAGCGTTTCAATCCGACCATCGACTGGACGACGGGAGCGATCACGGTGCTGTGCAACAAGGGGCGCGTGACACTTCCGAAATGGGCGGAGCCGGAGCCGACAACAACACGTGTCAACGCGATAACGTTGAAGAGGGCGATAAAACGGGGAGCGCAAGGCTACGCCGTACAGCTGTACGAGGTGGTGGCTTCCAAAAAAATCGCCGACATCGACACGCTCTGCGCTGCTGTACCCGACGACCATAATTCGGAGGTATCCCGATATTTTCGCGGATGACCTGCCTGATGGGTTGCCACCTCAACGTCCGGAAGACCATAAGATCGAGCTGGAGCCAGGCGCGAAACCAACCATCCGGTCACAATGGCGGCTCAGCCAACCGGAGCTCGACGAATTGCAGAAACAGCTGGACTATCTGCTTTCCAAGGGTTTTATCCGGCCGAGCACATCACCGTATGCCGCCCCGATACTATTCACGCCGAAGAAGGACGGAGGCCTGCGCATGTGCATCGACTACCGAGCGCTGAATCGGGTCACGATCAAGTCGCGTTACCCGATCCCACGAACCGACGACCTGCTAGACCAACTTCGCGGGGCTCGGTTCTTCTCGAAGATCGATTTGCGAGGTGGCTACCACCAGATTCGTGTGTTCGCCGACGACTGCCCGAAGACTGCATTCCGCACCCTTTACGGCAGTTATGAGTACACCGTGATGCCGTTCGGGTTGACGAACGCACCCTCGACTTTCCAGCTCACTATGAATGGGGTGTTTCGGGACATGTTGGACAAAAAAGTTATTGTTTACCTGGACGACATCCTGGTGTACAGCAAGACACGGGAGCAGCATTTACGGGACTTAGACGAGGTGTTCCAACGCTTGCAGCAGAACCGACTGATTACGAAGGGCTCTAAGTGTGAGTTCTTACAGTCGGAGCTGGAGTTTCTGGGGCACGTGGTCTCAGGGGACGGCATTAAAATCGACCCTCGAAAAATAAAAGCGATTTCGGAGTGGAAGCCGCCCACGAACATCACCGAATTGCAGAGTTTCCTCGGCTTCGTTAACTACGTCCGCCGCTTGGTACCCAACATGGCGGGGGTAACCAGGCCGTTAACCGATCTCCTGCATAAGGGCGTGCAGTTTTTTTGGGGGGAGAGAGAACAACTGGCTTTCAACGAGCTGAAGAAAATTTTGAGTTCACCCCCGGTGCTTCGACTGGCAGATCCATCTCGACCGTTTGAAGTCGTGACGGACGCCAGCGATTTCACCGTCGGCGCTGTGCTATTACAGGATTTCGGCAACGGGCTGCAACCCATCGCGTACGAGTCAAGAAAAATGCAGCCGCCCGAGCGCAACTACCCGGTTCACGACAAGGAAATGCTCGCCATCGTGCATGCGTTT